TGCTTCTTCGTTGCATGTAGTTAAAAAGAGAGAGATGGCTGCCCTGCCCTGTGCTTTTGTCGTTACCTGCACAGGTGAGGCCACACCCACCTCTAGTCACATGCAGAGGAAGTCTGTCTCAGCCCAGAAGGAAACAGGAAAGTTTACCTGCTGGCTGGACAAACATTCTTCCCCATGTGTAAACATGTTCACTCTAGGAATGTTGTACTTGACTGCTCTTGTGTTTCGCATCCCATATTCTTGTGTCCTTATGCTCATACTGCCCTCCCGACTGAGGTCACGCGATGTGTTTTTGTCAGGCACATTTTACCCAGGAATTCACTCTTTTTGCCGACATTGTTGGATCTCTTTGCATCGCTGTAGCTCTTGCTGATGCATCCAACAAGTTGCAGCGCCCAGAATTAAAGTGTTGCTCCAGATTTTGTCAAAACCACCCACCCTTGGTCTCTACAACACATGTGTAGGTTGGTTGTAGTTTTACCTGACTACAGGATATAACATCCTGATTTTTTTGCATTCAATTATATAGGCTATACTGCCGGATTTGCTGGTTATATCCTGATGGATGTAATATTGGTAGCTGGAATTTCTTTGCCTTTCCTTGGGGTTTTATGGGTTGTTTTCAGCCCTAAAATGGAGCTGTTCTTTTTAAAGTCCAATAAACAGATCTCTTAATTTATAACAGACCTTTTGCAGTCCATCGCTTCTTTAACTATCAATGGCTCAAAGCTTTGCGGTTTCTTTAAGTGGGTGGGAAGATCTTGTAGCATGATTAAAACGGTGATTAAGTATTGAAATAGCAAATGACAGAGTTGCCTGTTTTTCTTTTCTTTTTTTAAAAGGAAAGCAAACCCGCGAAAGGCATATTTCAGGAAGCCAGTTTGAAAACCTGACTCGATTGTGGATAAACTAAGGGAAACAAAGGTGGAATTTTTAAAAATAAAGCCAAGTTTGTGCTTCAGTCCACCTTGCAAGATAGAGAGAGGAATGAAATGCAAATGGTTTTCATCATGGGTAGGCAAACTAAGGCCCGGGGGCCGGATCTGACCCAATTGCCTTCTAAATCCGGCCCATGGACGGTCCCGGGAATCAGCATGTTTTTACATGAGTACAATGTGTGCTTTTATTTAAAATGCATCTCTGGGTTATTTGTGGGGCATAGGAATTCGTTCATCCCCCCCCCCAAAAAAAATATAGTCCGGCCCCCCATGAGGTCTGAGGGACAGTGGACCGGCCGCCTGCTGAAAAAGTCTGCTGACCCCTGGTTTTCATTGATCAACAGGAGGGCTATGGGCAGGGCAGAAAAGGGTTTGGCAGTTTGTTGCCCCGGTCATGACGAATTGCACTCCATCCCACCACTCAGGGCTAGGCTGAGCCTTGGGGGGTGGGCGGTAAGATGGGGGGGGGACCTCCATTGCACTGTGGGGCTGAAGCTCAGACTACATACCCTGCTGCCTGCAACAGGATTCCTGAATGTTGGAAGATTCGGGACAGATACAAGGAAGCGCAGCGCAGTTGAACTACGGAACTCACTGCTACAAGATGGCCACCTAGACAAATTCATGGGGGGTATTGATGGCTACTAGCTAGGGTGATTCTGTTCTGCCTCCACAACCCTTCTCAATTTCTGCTGCTGGAAACCCCAGGAAGGGAGAGATGCTCTTGTGCTTTTTCCAGACATCGTGGGCATCTGGGCAGCCACTGTGAGAACAGGATGCTGGAAATAATAATAATAATAATAATAATAATAATAATAATAATAATAATAATAATTATTATTATTATTATTATTATTATTAATACCCTGCCCTCCCTGGCCAGAGCCGGGCTCAGGGCGGCTAACACCAATAAAATCACAGTACAAACATAATAGGGGGGAAAGAGGGGGGGAACCAATTTAAAATACAGGTTAAAATGCAATTTAAAATGCAGCCTCATTTTAAAGTAGCTGATAAATCAAGACCATAAGGGGAGGGAAACAGAAGGGTCAGACCGAGTCCAAACCAAAAGCCAGGCGGAACAGCTCCATCTTGCAGGCCCTGCAGAAAGATGTCAAGTCCCTTAGGGCCCTAGTCCCTTGTGACAGAGCGTTCCACCAAGTCGGGGCCAGTGCTGAAAATCCCTGGCCCTAGTGGAGACCAATCTAACCTCCTTGAGGCTCGGGACCTCCAAAGTGTTGTTATTTGTGGACCTTAAGGTCCTCCGTGGGGCATACCAGGAGAGGCGGTCCCATAGGTACGTGGGTCCTAGGCCATTGGCCTGACTCTGCAGGCTATTCTTATGTCCAGCGGAGCTTGCCTGCTACTCCCAGGGATATTGAAAAACAAACAGGCATGAATAATGATTGATCCGCGCTGTATGCTTGACATGCTCACCTTGCGACGGAGGCCAGCTCAGCTGTCTGAGATCTGGGAAGGAAAGGGCTTGCAGCTTTCGCTTGGCATCCTTCCCTCGTCTCTCACACTGCCTCTTTGCCATTCCCGTCAGGTACCTCAGCTCACAGGTCAGCGCTGATAATCCTGCTTACTTTGACAGCAACAGGGAGAAGATCTGGCCTCACTGTACGCGACTTGAGAGAGGCAGGCTCTGCTGTTTACTGCTTTGGCTTTGCAGTAATTGCATTGTGGTTTTAAGCAGGGAGCTCTTTCCGTTCTGCTTTCCCCCAGTTAAGGATGGAGGAGAAATTTGCTTCAGTTCGTGGTTTTCATGGGGACCTGCCTCATTCTCACGTTGGGAAGCGATACGCAAACTGACAACCCAGGCATTCTTTCAAAAGAGCACTTCCCTGAATTTTGTCACGTGCTCTCCAACCAAAAATGTTGGGGGAAAGCATTCTCACATTGCATGCATTTGTGGAAACGTTGTATAATGCATGTTATACGTGGAGAAAGCATGGCGGAAATGCGAAGGTTAGGCAAATCGGCGTACAAAAACGTGTAGATTAGGAGAAATTTGCACTAGGGCGCAGGCGAACATTCGTAAGGTCTTAAAAGTAATTCGCAAGAACTGAACGGAAGATTGGGAAGACCAGAAAGGGAGAGAAAAAGAACCTTCCAGATTTGTCCAGCTAGCCAGTTCCAGAGTTACTCTATGGAACTCCCTGCCACAAGAGGCAGAGATGGTCACTAACCTAGATTTTAGATGGCTTCAAAGAAAATTAGACACAGTCGTGGAAGGAGAGAAGGCTATTAATGCTTACTAGTCAGGAGGGATACGCCCTGCCGTTGCTGTCGGAGGCTGTTTGCCCGTTCGTTTGAAAATGTCTGTACAGGGGGAGAGAAAGGGTTAATATGTAGACCAATAGGAAAGCTGGAGGCAGAGCCTACCTGTTTATAAAAGGGCTTGGCCCGAGGTTTGGGTGTGGGTAGTTGGTTGGTTTTAGTGGGTTGGTTGGTTGGTTGGGAAAGGCAGTTGGAAACAGAGAGACAGTGCAGTTGGTTCTTGTGTGAGGGGAGGTAGAAGAGATAGAGACAGGATAAAATTATTTTATTTGTTTGTTTGTTTGTTTGTTTGTTTGTTTGTTTGTTTGTACCCTGCCCATCTGGCTGGGTTTCCCCAGCCACTCTGGATGACTTCGAACAGAATGTAAAACAAAACATCAAACATTAAGAGCTTCCCTAATCAGGGCTGCCTTCAGATGTCTTCTGAAATTTGTTTATCTCTGACATCTGGTGGGAGGGCATTCCACAGGGCAGGCGCCACCGCCAAGAAGGCCCTCTGCCTGGTTCCCTGCAGCTTTGCTTCTCGCAGTGAGGGAACCGCCGGAAGGCCCTCAGCGTCCGGGCAGAACAATGGGGGTGGAGACGCTCCTTCAGGTATACTGGACCGAGGCCGTTTAGAATAAGACTAAGAAGGTAAAGAGTAACAACGTTTGGAATGTAGTTAAAGTTTGTTCGTGACTGCAATAAAATACACTCTTCTTTGTTAACTTGAGAACCTGACTGAGACTAAGTGATTTACCGGGGAGGACCTGGTTGGTGGCAGTGGATTAGTGGTGTACGGGTCAATAGTCCATGAGATGACCGGGGGCTCCGTACGAACACCACAGAGGCAGCAATGTTTCTGGGAACCGCAGGACAGGAGAGTGTTTCTCATGTTCTCAGGCCATGTTTGACGGTTTTCCTTTGTGGGCCACAGTGAGAAGAGGCTGCCGGTCTAGGTGGGCCATCGGCTAGGGCTGCCGTATTTCAAAAAGCGAAAATCTGGGGGGGGGGGGGAATCTGCCAAAATCTACACTTCCGACATGGGTTGCCATATGTCCGGATTTTTCCAGACATTTCAGCAATTTCCACCCGGAGACTGTATCTGACGGTCGAATCCTGACTACGTCAGGGAAATTCCAGACATATGGCAACCCTACCATGGGTCTCATCCAGCAAACTCCCTTGATCTTCCCAAGATCCACCACTATCAGGCATGGGGAGTCCTCCCCTCCCTTCGGTAACTTCACAGATAAGAATTAACAAGCAGTTGATCGATTTCTAGTCCTTTTAATATAGCATCGCGTTGTGAGCACAAATACACAGCTCTCCGCAAGGAGGGCAGTTGGCTCCTCTAATCCTCCTTCCGGTTTCTGCAACCGTTTTCAGTGCCAATGGGAAGTTCCTCCCTTTGACTCCTTTGCTCTCTGATACGTTTGGACCTCTGAGTCCGTGGTGAGGGGGGTGTTCCCCACGCTCTCAAGAGACGTCTCGACTAGCTGCCCCCTCCATTCTGGTTCTGTTGTCACTATATCAAAACTGAGCAACTCCTCCCTAAGCTGTTCGGCTCTGTCTCTCTCTCTCTGCTTCTGAACACGCTGTGGACGGGAAGGGGTGAATCTCCCCCCTCCAGCTCTCCATCGGAGAGAAGCTGTCATAGAATGCATTCCCCAGTCCTCATCTTCAGACCATTCCCTGACAACCATAGATTCACAGTTAGCAAGGAAAGGTGGGGAGAGGGCGGTCTCAGGAGACTCAGGGCAGGGATCAAGGAAATGCTGACTTTCTTCTCTCTTCCAGTGCTGCCCGCTGTGCCCGATGCTGACCAGACCTCCTGCGGCCTCTCTGGGTCACCCTCTGGGATTCTCACCCTCCACGCCTATGCCAGCCTGCCCCTAACCAGCAATGACCTTGTGGAACTGGCCTCCCTCCCCACCGCGCCCCCTTCCCCACTGCTCCTCCTGCCCCACTCCTCCTGCTACCCGGATGCCTGCACCATGACAGGGGCCAGGCAGCTGGATTCCTGCGGAGGAGGGCTGTGTGGCCAGGAGCGTGGCTCGGGCTGAGGGATGGCCTCGCTGGACCTGCCCTACCGCTGTCCGCGTTGCGGGGAACACAAGCGATTCCGGAGCCTCTCCTCCCTGAGGGCTCACCTGGAGTACAACCACACCTACGAGACCCTCTATGTCCTCTCCAAAACCAACAGCATCTGCGATGCCACCGTTTTCCCCCTGGCGTCCGACACCACCCTCCTGACGCCCGCAGCCCGCCGGGACATCTTTGAGAGCACCTCCTTCCAGGGCAAGGAGCAGCGGTTCACCTGCGACCTCATCGCCACCGCCACCACTGAGGAGCTGGACCCGACATCCTCGCCCGTCGCGTCCCGCTACGTCCACGAGATCGAGATCCCCCTGACCGAGATCTTCACCCGCAAGGCCATGACCTCGGCCACCACGCCTCCCGCCGCCGCGGCCGCCGCGGTGGCTGCCGTCGATGCGGCCTACGAGGAAGGCCTGACCCGCCTCAAGATCCGGGCCTTTGAGAAGCTGGAGGTGGACAAGCGGCTGGAGAAGCTGACCGAGGAAGTGGAGCAGAAGATCGCCTCCCAAGTCGGCCGGCTCCAGGTGGAGCTGGACCGCAAGAGCTCGGAGCTGGAGAAGGCCAAGCAGGAGAGCATCCGGCTCAGCCGGGAGAAGCAGGAGCTGGAGGAGAGGGCCGTGGAGCTGTCCCGCCAGGTGGACGTCAGTGTGGAGATGCTGGCCTCCCTCAAGCAAGACCTGGTGCAGAAGGAGCAGGAGCTGAGCCGCAAACAACAGTGAGTGATGGTTTCTGTGGTGTCACAGGGACTGCTAAAATGGGGGGGGGGGGTTTGAACCTGAGGTCCACGGGCCTGATCCGTCTTCCTTCACCCTGTCTTCTGATTTTGCCAATAGCGGCAGAGAAAAATGGAAGTAGCATCGAGGAAGGCAGAGGTTTAAACACAGGAAGGGAAGTGGGGAGGGAGGAGTCCTGGACTGGTTGGATGCAAAAGAGTGGTGGGAAGAAACTGATGGGGGGCCACCAAGGGAAGAAGGCTCAGAGCCTGGGGAAAGGTGGTGGGACGACAGTGAGTGGTCAGAGGGAGAGGACTGGGAAGAGGAGGTGTCAGAAGGTGAAGAGGTAACAGGGCTTAGTGAGCAGGGAGAGTCTGTGGCAGAGAGCAGCCCAGAATCAGAGGTAGAGGAAGAGGAGGAGACAGGTCAAGAAGCAGAGATGAGTCAGGCTGATGAAGAGTCACAGGTATTTCCCCCTCCTGCTGTGACCAGATCCCCAACCCAACCCACCCCACCCCCGGTCTCCCAGAACCAGAAGAGGCATGAAAAGGGCAAAAGAGAGATTGGCTGCACACAGGCACAGTCTCAGATTGCTTGGGGGGAATCCTGGAGACTAAGATGGCCATGGGGAGACCTTCAGTCTCAGCAACTGACTCATGGCTGCCAGACCTTCTGAAGATGAGTTGCTGCACTCCTGTGCAGATCCTGATTGTACTAAAAAAGAGTTAACTCCAACTGGCATGATGTCATTTACTGCTGGCTCGCTCCTGGCGGAAGGAAAGAGGAAGGGTGGGAGGGAAGGAGGGGGCGCAGACACAGAGTAATAGCAGAAGTTGCTTTGCACCAGATTTGTCCAGTCAGCCCAAGATTGTCCCTTCCAGCCTTTCCCAGCCCAGATGATGTGCCCTCCAAATGTGGTTGGACTACTCCAGGGGTCGGCAACATGTGGCCCATGGGCCAGATGTGGCCCACGAAGACCGTTTTGCCAGCCCACGAGCTGCCCCTGAACCGAGCCACCCACTCAGTGAGTCCCCTGTGCGCTGCGCTAAACCGGCGCAGCGCAGCACGGGGACTTGTCAAGCAGCGCTAGAAATCGTGTCTGCACATGTCCAGACGCCGAAAACTGCGCTTCTGTGCAGGCGTAATTTTCGGCTTCTGGGCATGTGCAGATGCAATTTCCGGCGCCACGGACATGCGCAGGCACATGCCCAGGGATGATCTCTAGGGGAGTGATCCGGCCCATGGCTGGTAAACCTTGCTGACCCCTAGACTACTCAAAGGAAACACAAGAAGCATGGACTAATGGTTTTACCTGGTATAATCCTGCTTCCTAGGCTCTCTCTGAATGTAGAGCCTCGAGCCAATATAAAGGGTTAGTCATCCCTGTGTTAAAGGATGCCGCAAGGCGGGAAGGTAACGTTTAACACCACTTTTCAAAATTAACCTGTGGAACATAAAAGCATGCTTATGTAATAAAAACCTGTTCAATAGAAAAGTAATACACAATCAATATTAGAATCAGTCAAGCAGAGGGAGGTTTTTTAATAAAAAAAATATTACATATAGCAATGTAAATATTTGAGAGACACAGATATGAACCATGGCTTGCCTGTTTGGCATCATATGGTCCACAACTTAGAAAATGATGCAGAGCGGAGAAATGGAGAGAGATAAATCATGCAGCTAGTCAGTATGTTCATCACTGGTGCTCAGAGATCTGCCTTGGTTGCCAATCTGCCACCGGGTCAGGTTCAAGGTGTTAGTATATAAAGCTCTTAATAAGTTGGGGCGAGTTAACCTACGAGTTTCACCTTCAATCGGCGAAATGCCACGTGATTCCTGTTCCACATTTGTAAGAACCCAATCACTGAGCATGGTAGCTAAGGGACTTTGGAACTCCCTGCCTGTTGATATCAAGCTGGTGCCTTCACTGTATTCTTTGCAGCTGCATTTGCAGATCCAAAATGGCACCAGACTGGGCAGTGTGGGTGGAGGTCCTGAGCTACCCAGATGGCAAGACCCCTCTCTTGGCCACGCTGATGGGGTCCTAAGAAAAAGTAGAGCAAGATGTTTGGCACCAGTTTCGCTGCAGGAATCACTGGTAGGAGGCCATCCAACTGCCTTAGGGACTCCGCTCCAGATTTCTGTAGGGCTCGTTGTTGTTTTGTTGTTTAGTCGTGTCCGATTCTTCATGACCCCATGGCCCAGAGCACGCCAGGCACTCCTGTCTTCCACTGCCTCCCGCAGTTTGGTCAAACTAATGCTGGTAGCTTTGAGAACACCGTCCCACCATCTCGTCCTCTGTCGTCCCCTTCTCCTTGTGCCCTCCATCTTTCCCAACATCAGGGTCTTTCCCAGGGAGTCTTCTCTTCTCATGAGGTGGCCAAAGTCTTGGAGCCTCAGCTTCAGGATCTGCCATTCTGTAGGGCTCACTTCTACCCTTTTCTTCTCCTGAAGATGTCCCGAAAGGCAGTGGGCACAGATTTTCCCTCGGGGTTTACTCCCAAAGCCTTTCTCACAAATATTTATAGCCTCGAGGCTATAAATGGAGATTTAGGTTCAGAATTTTCCTAGCTGGGCTACCTTCCCAGGTTGACAAGCCCCTCTCTTGCCCTCCTTTTCATCACCTGCTAAAACCCTTCTTGTTTTGACAATCCTACCCAGATGCTTAGAAAGTTAATTTGTTTTAGTGTTTCGACTTTTCGTAAGTTTTAGAGTTGTAATTTTTTATAGTTTTTATATATTTTTTTGTAAACCGCTTTGAGGGCTCTCTCCTTTTTTTACAGTCAAGTGGAGTATACACATTTTATGAAATAAATAAAATAAATAATGATGTAAGGGAAGGAGAAGATAGCGGTCAATATTAAGTACTGGAATACAATCAGTTCCAGCTAAAAATCATACGTTGCAGAAAATTGCCATCCACAAGTTTGTCTTTTGACATAAGTCATGAATGACCGCCAAGTAGCCTCACCGTCTATAGCTTTGGCGTCTCTCTTGGAAGCTTGTAAAGGATGAGCGAGTTTTCTAGAAATCACAAGAAACAAGACCTTCTTAAACCAGGTATAAAGGGGGGAAACCCAGTTAGACTCCATCCTTGGGCAATGGTTAGTTGAGTGGTGACAGGCAGCAGTTTTTCTTTTTAAGAAAAGTTTAAAGCAGTCACCAGGGCTGGATTTAGGTTTGATGAGGCGCTAAGCTACTGAGACGCGGGTGGCGCTGTGGGTTAAAGCCTCAGCGCCTAGGACTTGCCGATCGAAAGGTTGGCGGTTCGAATCCCCGCGGCGGGGTGCGCTCCCGTCGTTCGGTCCCAGCGCCTGCCAACCTAGCAGTTCGAAAGCACCTTCGGGTGCAAGTAGATAAATAGGGACCGCTTACCAGCGGGAAGGTAAACGGCGTTCTCGCCAGATGCAGCTTGTCACGCTGGCCACGTGACCCGGAAGTGTCTTCGGACAGCGCTGGCCCCCGGCCTCTTAAGTGAGATGGGCGCACAACCCCAGAGTCTGTCAAGACTGGCCCGTACGGGCAGGGGTACCTTTACCTTTACCTTAAGCTACTGAAGGTAATGGGGCCCTGTATATGTCCAGCTGTCCTTTGTCAACAACAAATTGTCACTGTTTTTTTGTGCTGAATATATGCTATATGGTACTTGATGGACCTAATAGGAATCGAAAGTCATTTGCACATAACAAAATATGTATTTTATCAAAGTAATTGATATAGCAATGAGCAAACCAGTGATATTTTACGGAGCAGGCTAGCAGGCGGGGCCCATTACTTACATCTTAGGAACCTACATAACACAAAACACCTGTTGCTGTATGTAGGTTTTATTTTATTTGTTTTTTATCTTATATTTTGTAAATGTAAATCCAGGTTGTTTTTTCTTTAATTTTTTGGGGGGGGCCTAAGACAGTGGGGCCCTAAGCTATAGCATGTTCAACTTATACATAAATCCGGAACTGGCTGACACAATGAGGGATTTTGATTTCTTTATTTTACTTATTTCCTAAAATTTATACACTGCTTGATTGTTGGGGGAGGGAAAGGTCTCTAACAGCTAAAACAGTTTGTAGAAACATCTACAAACCTACTTTAAATCAAAGCAGAATATTGAATCCTATTGCCATTTCCCCCTGGTGTCAGAATAACAGGATGGGGCCAGATTCATAGTCTTCGGAGAGAAATGCCTTGGCATCACAAAGCCTGCACGAAACTCTCTCCCGCTTTCCCTGCCTAGCAAAAGCCTCCTCATTCTTTTCAGCCAGAGCCTGCAGTACACCTGCGTCGGAGTGCAGAAGGCAGCCAGCTTTTCTTGAGGAAATCCTTTTGGGTGGCCTCCCTCTCAGAAACGGGCTGCTTCACGAAGAAAGCAGATAATGTGGGAAGGCACACAGGGGCGGAATGAATATTTGCATGATCTTAAGTAGAAAGATATCTGAGGAAATGGAGAATCAGAGGCAATAATCCCGTCTAAGAAAATATGGACTGAAATTTAATGATCCCAAGGCGCTCTGAGTATCGCTCCTCTCTTGGGTATCAGCCCAAACAAACAGTCATCCCACATTCTCTTAGATGGGATTATTGCACCTCGCTCTGAATTTTCTCCGGTATTTCCAGCTTGCTCAAATATTCATTCTGGCCCTGTTTGCTTTTTCAGACTTTCTTCTCTTTGTGTGTGTGTGTGTGTGTGTGTGTGTGTGTGTGTGGGCACCACAGTTCAAGAAGGACACTGACAAACTGGAACGTGTCCAGAGGAGGGCAACCAAAATGGTCAAAGGCCTGGAAACGATGCCTTATGAGGAACGGCTAAGGGAGCTGGGCATGTTTAGCCTGGAGAAGAGGAGGTTAAGGGGTGATATGATAGCCATGTTCAAATATATAAAAGGATGTCATATAGAGGAGGGAGAAAGGTTGTTTTCTGCTGCTCCAGAGAAGCGGACACGGAAGAATGGATCCAAACTACAAGAAAGAAGATTCCACCTAAACATTAGGAAGAACT